GGAAAAGGGGGGGGCGGGGGCATGGAGTGGTACGGAGGGGCTGGCCGGAGCCTTGTCGATCTATGCTCTGCTGTTTCAGTTTTTCGGTTCTTCCACTGGTTTTAGAAAACTTGGTTAACAAAAAGATGACCTGACTACTGCTGTGTGTACCCCTCATCTTGAGGGATGAGCGCCGCGCTTTCCTCGCATTGGTACCATGCAGTCCAGCGTATGGCCGGATTGAACACCTCTTCTTGAGGGATGAGCGCCGCGCTTTCCTCGCATTGGTACCGTGCAGTTCAGCGTATGGCCTGATTGTGTACCTCTTCTTGAGGGATGAGTGAGTGCCACGCTCTCCTCGCATTGGTACCGTGCATTTCAGCGTATGGCCTGATTGTGTGCCTCTGATGGGCGCCACGCTTTCCTCGCATTGGTACGTACCATCCGTTTCAGCGTAGCTTCCATGTCCCTCTCGCCGCGAAAATACGTGGAGTTAGTTCAAATCGCCGGTCATTTTCAGTGCCCCCGTAACGGTTTCGACCCTACCGTCTTGCCATCTTTTACTTCAAACATACACGGGAGGACACCTTTTTTCGCCCGAGGAATGTGTTGGGCCGACATGTTTGCCGTGCACGTGCGAGTCGTTACAGGGTTCCACATGGCACCCCCGCTTTGCGTTCACCATCATCACTACAGAATGAACAACTCTCCGCATCTACCGTCGGTACTACAGCATTTGACGCTCGACTCTCGATACACACTTGTAGACGCAAGGTTGGTCCAAGTAAAAGTGGAGTGCCCGCTCGCTGTGTTTCTTTGTTTTTTCCGTTTTTCCGGAGGCAATTACACCCGCGAAGACTCGAACTTTACGCCACTCGAGGAGGTGCATACTAGCAGCAGGAGATAACGGTAGGAGCACGTCGCATGTCACCATATCTCCCTCTCGCCTTGTATGCTCTCGTGTGCGGGGAGTGACGGCAAGGTGGTTGTGGCGTCCTGGCGGTGGGCGGTGGGCGGTGGTGGTGGTCAGCGGTGGTTCTTGAATTCTGAACCAGTTCGGCAAATAAGTTCGCGAGGCGTGTCTGCAATTTGAAAAAAAACAAAACGCGTTCTTCAAGTGACCCGAGGGAGGCACCGCGGCACCGCCCCGCTCGCTGGTCCCGCGTCCTTCTTCCCCTACCCCTGCCCCCAGCTGATCGCACCCTCCGTGTCGCCCTGGAGTATTTCTTGTGAAGATGGCCGATAACGGTGAGCCGAGATGATATGAATCGGACTTTCGAAGTCACGCTCAGCTTTTTCATATGCGCACGACAGAACACGGAACGGCAGCAGTTTTGTTTCTCAAAGGCACCAATGCGCGAGGCACCACGCGGCTCGCTCGCCCTCTCTGTCTCCGCCTCTTGGGCGTGTCGGCAGTGTGATGACCACTGGGTTGACCGTACATTTTACGGGGTCTCGCACCTGTACTGGCATCCGACACTTCCCTATTTGCTGGAGACCACGTGTAGTCTTCAGCAAACAGTTTACAAAAAGGCAACATTTTTTTTTTTGTGACTTTGTTATTTTCATGCGAAGAACGAAGAACGTGCCAGATTCACAGATTCGTCTCTCTGCTCTTGCCGAAAGTCTGGGATAGGTTGCATATATCTCGAACGGGTATTTTTGCCTAATAGTGAATGCTCGTGGCGTTGCAGATGACCAACTTGTATGTCTACGGTTGGTTCCCCGAGCAGCATGTGGCGACATCTCTCCCGTGGGTACAGGTTCAACAATGACAGCAGTGTTTCTTGGTCGCCCAAGGCGATCACCCTTAGTTGCGTACGGCAGTTGGTGTGTACTTCCAATAGCGGTCCTGGAGGTAAGAAACGTAAGAATCGGGTCGTGGCTCAGTTTCTTATTCCATCGCCACTACTACTGCTGCTGTCGAGCACAGGTTGTGACGTATGGTAGAGTGTAGAACCCACCGCTCGCTTGGCTGTCTTTTTTTTTTTTTTCTTAATATGACACAACGAAACCATCTCTATCATAGAAAAGAGTCTGAGACAGATTAGCAATGGATTCATTGCGTCAGAAAGTACTTGTATGTCTACGATTTCCCAGACAGCATATAGGGACATCTCCCCTGCGGGTAACAGGCTCAACAAGACCGTTTTTCTTGTCCGTATCTCTTATTTTTCGTGAAAATTCGAAAATTGCCTCTGGATTTTTTTTACGAAATGATTGTCACCCATCACACCGGACCAACACAAATATCTATATCTTGTTTGGGCCGTCTTTCTTAACTGGGGGGGGGCTTTCTGTGTACGCGCTGCACAGGAGAAGTCCAGACCACGGCGACGCACCCCATGACAAGGGCAGGAGCAGCCGTCCCCGAGAGGACCCGCAGGATGCTGGCCCGGGCCGCGATAGCTGCAGCCGCGACGGCCGCCGCTCTCAAGTCGAAGAGGAGGGCGTTCATCGCCGCCAACCGCGAGCGCAGCGAGGACGCCGGTGGCAGCTCTTCTACTACCGAGCCACCGACGCCTGAGCCCTACGGGGGCGAAGACTGCGCCATCTGCTTGAGCCCCTTGAGGAGACCCGGCGGAAGTGTGCCGGAGCGGCCGGTATACACCATTCGAGCGTGCGAGGTAAGCGACCCGAGTACTACTGTACCGCAAGTTGCATAAGATACCACGCCCCATGGAGACCGTTTTTCAAAGCTCGATTGCTCTGCAGCAAAAACCGGTGGCGGTGCCGAAAATTGTGGCGTTGGACCCGCCTCGTCGAGAGCTTTCCGAAAACGTGTCATTTGGTTTGGGCATCCTGAATGCACATGTCGTGGAGTGCTCGAGCTGTGAATATCCGTCTTGGGGTATCTTATCCAACCCATGGTAGTTGCAAAGGCGTCCTAGATGTGTGTTGCACCTGTACATACCCGTATACGACACAAGAAAACACACCCCCAGGACCGATTTTCAAAGCTCGATTACGCCATGACGAAGAACATGCATAAACGAAACGATATGTATTCGGAAAGCTCTCGACGAGACGGTTCAACGCCCCCGTTTTCGGCGCTGTGACTCTTTCTGCTGTTGAGAAATCGAGCTTTGAAATGCGGGCGTATTATCTTGTGTTGTAACGGTAGTAAAGACTTCCAAACACACACCCTTCGACTTGTGTGGTTTTCTCTCAAACGGGTAGTGTCTCTTGTGTGTGCATGCATGTTTTCTAGTACATGACCAACAGCCGGAAAAACTGATTGTCCTGCTCCCCAGCAGCCAACGCCAAACGGACTCCGAAACAACCCACCGTGGTGCCGTTGTACTGTAGCCTACTGCTGTCCTCCTTCCTTGCCCATAATTTTGCGGGGAGAAACACGTTTCGGTTCGCGTCTTACGAAGCAAGTCGATTTGTTGTGAAGTACATCGTATAAGAGCTTCAATTAACACTACCCAGTTGAGCACGGCAGTAGAGACAGAAACGGCATCCCCGAGGTGTGACCTTTGTGTAAACACCAGTTGGTTCTGGCCTAATTTGGCTCCGCCGCCGCTTCATGGAAAAGAGCTGAGGATTTCAATGCCGAGCCTAGAAGCTAAGTAGCATTCGTTGTAGAGTCACGTTCAAAAAATCGATCCGAAGAGACTGGCGCCAACTTTCGCCGCCCCTCAAGTTGGACCACAGGTTGACGAGACACTAGTCATCGTCGAAGGTTCATTGTTTAAATATTTGAAATTTTCACACCGCTGTTTGCTTGTTTCTGCTATTACTCGGGATCTCCACGCGTGCCGCAACTACCGTTCCTCCGTGTTTGAATCGTGGGCATCTTCCTGTATATTTGCTGTTCGTGGGCTTTTTCCACCTGTATTTTCTTGATTTGTTCGACACGACGTCTTCGCTCTTCGTCCTCGTGCGCTCCGTTCTTGTGGTGCTCCCCAGCACAACTTCCACAGAGACTGCCTGGTGGCCAACAGAGCCGAGGGGCGCACCACCTGCCCCTGCTGCCGAGGCGAGATAGAGAGGGGCCTCTCCCCGGCGCCGACGCGGCGAGCGGAGCAGCAGGCCGCCGCCGAGGCGGAGGAGCACGCCCGGAGGTTGGCCAGGAGGGCCGAGCGTCGGGCCAGGCGGAGGCAAGAAGAGGAACGGGAGGCGGCGGCGGCGGAAGATGCTGCGTGGCAGGCTCGCCGGCGGGCTCGTCGGGAGGAGGAGCAACGCAGGCTCCACCACCGCGACCACCACCACCGCCGGCAGTGGGCGGAAACGGAGGAGCGGTCCCGCCAGAGGGAGCAGTGGGACCGGCAGCAGCAGCAGCTTGAACGGCTGCGGCACGAGCAAGTGGAGTTCCGGCGCTGGCAGCACCGGCGCCGTCAGCAGGAAGAGCGTGAGCGGCAGCGCGAGTTGTCGGACCAGCGGCGGCGAGAAGAGCGGCGGCTGCTGGCGGAAGGGGAGGAGCGGCAGCGGCAGGAGCACCGCCACCGCCACGTGCTGATGGAGCAGCTGAGGGCGAGCGAAGCGGCCCGGCGCGCGGCGCAACAGCAAGAAGAGGCCCGCCGCCGACGCCTGCTCGAGTTCGAGACGAGGCTGCAACTGGCACGGCGGGAGCGCCTGACGGCGCACAGGGGACTAGAGCGCGCGCAAGTGCAGGCGGCCGCTAGCGTGGCGGCCGTTCTGGTGCAGGCGGAGGCGACCGTGTCGGCAGCCGCGAGGCGCAATGATGAGACAGCCTCGGCGGTGGAGCGTGCCAGATCGCAGTACCGTGCGGAGCGGGCGAGGCAGGGGCTGGGCGTTGGAGAGGAGTCAGGCTAGGCTGTAGCTGTTGGCAACCCGCGCATGCATGCATACATGCGCCGACAGGCAGAAAGTATAGGTAAGTAGGTTTCGGTAAACTGAACCATCTGGGTGATGGCCTTTGCGTGTGTGTCAAGCACGACGACAGCAATCTCCCCAAACATGTTGGTTTCGCACGCGTCCGCGTTACTGTCGACGGTGCGTGTTGCGTCAACGCTCATCGGTAACACGTCATCTGATGTCGACGGAGTGGAATCCGCGAGTATTCTACAATACAAGTAAACACGATTTGATAAACCTGAGGGTAGCAGCACCAAGTCCGGCCTCATGTTTGTGTAGACATGATATATATGGTAAGTGTAGACGGTACGTATGATGGAAGTTGTAGACGCTTGTAGCGCAGGTGGAATGTATCGATAGATTGTGCGAATCGGTGTGCATCTTCCTAGGCTGAGTTTTTAGTTTTTTCCGGCTGACCGCCATCACCATCGTCGCAGAACGTGGGGGTACCTGAATGCGCACGTCGAGGGGAGACCGAATCCGACAATCGGGCTCAACGCACGGCGTGAGATCATACATAGCCTGCCGGTCCCGACCGTAAGATTGCTTCTTGGTACTGCTGTGAGGTACAGATTCAATGAAGCCGCGCTCGAATTGAATTGGTGCACGTGTCTTGTGAGGGCTTGTGAAATCGCATCCTGCATTTGTTTGTCGCCTTGTGTCAGCCGGTGTTTCGTCTTCCGTTCGCACTTTTCGGCTACTGGATTGAGCGTGTCGTAATTTAAGCAGTAGCCTAGCAGTTGTTTTTGTATTTAGCAAACATGTTGGATAAAGCGTACAATCGGGGAATTAGGGTTAGGGTTAGGGTTAGGGAATAGGGTCTGCGTGCCCCCCTCCCCGTTGTATTTCCTCAATAATCTTAATTTCTCGCGAAGGCGGTCCAATCTGAGTTGCAAGCGCGAATGATACATCTACCCCATGTACTTAAGTACAATTGTAACCCCGGTCTTCGACTAAAGTGGAACCCTCCTCACGCACTGTTTTGTTCAGGCGTGAAACACGTGGTGAACCAAAAAGGACAAGCGCGAACGATACTACTCTGTCGCAACTGCCAAGCAACAACGTTAGTGGACCGACGGTACGATAACAACCCGTGAAATCCGAGGAACAAGTGCTGTCCGGACATTTTCACGGGTACCCGGAACACTCCCAACAGCAGGCGCGAAGTTTTCCAGCTGGTTGTTCAACGTAGAAGAAAAGACTTTTCTCGCTGTCCCAGTTCATCTCTCGGAAAAACTCTCGCGGCTCCCCTCGCGTGCTAGGGGCGACATGGCCGACTTCTCTCGTCGTCGGTGTACGGTTTGACCGGAACCAGCCGCCCGCGTTTTTTTTTCGTCCTCCCTTCAAGTCAGCGCTCACAGCATTGTACAAGTACCACGTTTAGGGCGGCGCCAAAGCACTCGCTACGACGCTACACAACGCGAGAGCCAACGAAGTGATGACGCAACGCATGAACACGGCGCAGCAAAAATAACACACACACACACGCACCATGGCCGTCGGAAGCGTATTCCGCTTTTAGCCGCACTGAGGACTGACGTATTCTTATTGTTGTGCGTGGTCGATTCTAATTAACACACACCTCATATGCACACACATGGCGTTGTTCCGTTGTATAAACACTTGGCCGAAAATTGCGCGAAAAATGATCAAATGCAAAAAACAAACCACTCCAGACAGAGCAGTTCGAACGTTCGAACGGCATAAAAAAATGCGCCGTGTTGCTCACTCACAAAGCGTAAAACAATGAATCTCGGAAGAAGGTTCTTACGGTTTTGATACAAACTCGTACAAGAAGCCCCGAACCACGAGCGCAAGCAGCGAGGTCTGCTGCACAAACACTAGGAAAACTAACAGATAAATATACACACATCACCCGTGGGGATTTCACCCCTGTCTCAAATTTCTGTTCATGCGGCAACGGCCGCAGCCATCTCTCGTCCCTTGCGCACCTTTGGTGCCGGCGTCATTCCAGCCAAGACGCTCACGGCATCAGTCGTCCAAGAGTACACCCCCTCACATTCCCCGACGAGACAGGCGGCTGGAGGAAGCGAAAAGCCTACGACCAATTCAGGCATTTCCGGAAACAGGGCCTTTCGCGTACGGTCATCCTCGCCGCGGCAGGATCTGCAGCGCGTGGACTCCGCCTCCTTCTCTGCCGTGACCCTTGTACACATACTTTTGTGCGGCGCCCGGGGGCGTCGAGGCGTGGTGAGGAATTTTCCTGGTGCGTGCCACGCACCCCCTATAATTGCCGTGAGCAGATAGGATGGATCACGTGATTCTTTCCCTGTGATCAGACCCGCCGTCTCTGCAGTAGCTGCTGCTGCTGCTGCTGCTGCTGCTGCTGCTACTGCTGCTGCTGTCGCCGCCGTGAGAAGATATGATGGATGACGGTGTTTCGCTCTGCTCAGACCGCCGTCTCTTCTGGTGCTGCTGTCGCCGCTGTCGCCGCCGCTGCCGCCGCCCCCGCCAACGCTCGGCTGGCCGCCTGGGCGGCCTCGAGCTCCACCGCCTCCTTCCTCGCTCTCGCGGTCTCTAGAGCTATCTCAGCCGCCGACATCTCGGCCAGTGCCAGCCTCAACGGCTCCGACCTGCTATTAGCCTCCGACCGCCTTGCCCTCTCCACCACTCCGTCAAAATCCGACGAGCTTTCCGAGGGAGCTGCAGCCGCTGCCGACTGCCTTGCCCGGCGAACGGCTGCCGCGGCGACCGATAGGTCCGACTCCGCCTCCGTCACTCTTGTGGTGGCCTCCGCCATCGCCGCCATTGCCGCCCGGCGGGCCTGCGATAAAAACAACACCGCGCCGAACACGCGGACCTCACGCTCGTACTCCCGTGTACATTGTTCGCAGGCAAGGCGATGCTCGTAGCGCCGACTTAACGAACAGGGGCCTTACGCGAGGAAAACCTCTTGCTATCGGAGACTACCCTTGCTTGTGTCTGGTCTGGATACATGGCGGAGCACACCATGTCCTTCGTAGGAACAAACGGCAGAGACATTTATTTCGTTTCCCAAATCGGGCGTGTATTGCTGTGCTGAACGTATTCGCTCCGATTGTGCTCTCAAATAGTCTGTGCAAACGCCCGTGAAACGCCCGAGTTGGCATATTCTTATGCATTTAGCTCCGTCGCAGGATGCCCAATGTCGAGCCTTGGCTGTCACACCCTGGCAGCACCATGCCATGCCGCGAATACGGAACTGCTCTATTGCGCCCAACAAAAGCCTCTTGGCTTCTGTCTACTGTCTGTGTCTCTGTGTATGTATGTCTATCTATTATCTATGTACGTCTCTCCCTCTCCCTCTCTCTCTCTCTCTCTCTCTCTCTCTCTCTCTCTCTCTCTCTCTCTCTCTCTCTCTCTCTTTCTCTCTCTCTCTGCTTCTGTCTACTGTGTGTCTGCATGTATGTCGATTGATGACTATGCATGTCTCTCTGTTTGCCTCTCTCTTCCTCTTCCCCTCTTTGTCTCTCTCTCTCTCACCTCCGCCAAGCTTGCCGTTATCGCCTCCGCTCTTCGACGGGCCTCCTCCTCCCCTGCCTCGCTCTCACTCTCAGACATCGCTCCGCGCGCCCCTGCCGCCGCCGCCACCGCAGCAGCAGCAGCAGCAGCAGCCAACCGTGCCGACGTCGGACGCACCTCCAGCTGGCCCGCCTCCGGCCTCGTGGGCGTCCGCGCCGCCACTTCGAGCTCCTCCAAGCGCCCCAAAAGCGCGGCCACCGACACCGGCCCCGCCTCCGCTACCGAGCGCGTCTCGGCCCGGGTCGTGGGCGTCCCCGCCGCGGCGTTGAGCTCCTCCAGTCGTGTCAGCAGGGCGGCCGTCGCCGTCGGCACCGGGCGGGCTTCGGCTACCACGGCTCCCGCCGCCCGCCGTGCCCTCGCCTGGAGCGCCTCCTCCTCCTCCTCTCTGCGCCGGCTTATGGCCGACCTGACAGGGTTTTCGGAGGCATAGTGGTGTGGGTGAGCTCGAGGGTGGGGTATGTAGGCTACCATTAGCAAGTGGGACGCCAATATGCAAGTGCTCATGGGCTGCCTCGTCTTAGTGCTGCCGGTAGGTCACACAACCGCACCAGACGTCGAGGGCGGCACGATCAACAGGCACCAAGAGGACACGGGCAAAGCAGACAAGGTCAAGCGCTCAGTGTCTGCCAACCCTCCCCACCCCTCTCGCCCACGACGGCCCCACCATTACTCGGGCGCATTTGCACGTCCGTACGCGCAACTGCAGACTACCTTCGTTACGTTCCGCAGGAGCCTACCGTACAGCGTCGGGGTCCGAACCAACAACTCGACAGCAACAAGGGGGGCACCAATCGCCAAGCACGCTCACGTCCTGGCCATCTGCTCCCGTCCCTCTGCAGTCGCCTCAGGCGTCAGGCCGGGTTCGAGGGGTCCCCTGCAGCAAGGGCAACCGACGTTCCCCGCTCCCCGGTTCTCGACCAGGCAAGCTCGGTGGAAGTTGTGCTGTGCGCCGAGGAGGCGGCAAAACGATACCATCAAACATGCATGCAGTCAGGGAGCCTCAACGATAGCGCCAGTGGCCCTGTTAGCGTCGGTGAAATTGCTGGCCACAGACTTAATCACCAAGTCATTGTGTTGTTTTGAATAGCGCCGGTCGATTCGCCGGGCACGGACCGGCGTTATTGAGGGCCCACTACTGTACCATGGCACATCTGCTCTGTCAAATACGTCTAGAGGCCGGCAGCGTAGTAGTAGTGCACGCGCAGGGGAGGTGGTCCTCTTCGGGCAGTGGCCAATGGAATATTGCGTCGTGGTTCTCGGCCGAACAGGCTAGTGGAGGCTGTGTCTTGCGCAGGGAGAGGCGACATGGACAAGGCCACAGCAGTGACACTTGTCATTACTTCGTCTCAGAAAAAAAAATGGGTATGAGAATGCAGGCAAGAAGGTGTTATGGTGCGGTGGCGGTATCCCTCGATGAAGGCTTGATCTCAAGCTCATCCGATGGTACGAGGGAAGTGTTCTCATGCGGACGGGAAGAAGTTAAGGTGTCAAGACAGCAACGGCCGCGGTCCGGTGCCAGCGCGCACGACAACTGGAGGGGAGGGCTCAAGGTTAAACGCCTAGTAGATGACACATGAACACCCTTGTGTGTTGTTTGCTCATCCGCAGCTTACATCAGTGTGTGTGCGCGCGCCTTAAGGGGGCGGGGAGAAGAGAGTAAACCGAAACATCAGTGAAGGTTCGAAAATTCGGACTAAACGGTAGCCAACATGCAGGTTTGCTTCAACTGAACGTGGTCATATCTTCCCTCGCACAAGCCATATGTTACCAGGTGTACTAGAAGAACACCACCGAGAAGAACACCACCGAGAAGAACATGCCGACTTTGGTAGCGTCCAAGCAAATCGCCACGTGCCCGCCACCCCTTTCTCGCCTCTGCTGTTACTATTATAGACACAACCAGATATCACCGACCCCCGCATCCGCTAAGCCCTGCGCTCATCACCTTGCAGAGCCTGACAGTGTACACCTCTCGCTGCTCCTGCCGCCGATTCGTGCCAGAGTTCTTGAGCGGGCTGAGGCAGATGGAGCAAACGCCTCCTCCTCCTTCGTTGTCCACCTCCGGCGCGGTTTCACCCATCCCAGCGCCACCGTTCTCCTTGTCCCTGCTGCTGTTGACCACTGCAACACGCCCATCCTTTCTCTTTGGTGGCGTCTGAAAGCCAGGGCTCGTTGTTGAGATCGAAAGAGTATCAGCAGCAGACGTGGCAGGCCGCAGTGCCCGAGGGGTGGTGCTACCAAAAAATGGCGTGAACGAGCGAGCGCGGGGAGGCGTCCGCGCCGACTCCAGCGTGCTGGCTGGGGGGCCTGCGGGATGTTTCATGTCACGGCGGTTGCGTGTGGGCGCGCGTGTACAGGTGTCCTGGGGACGTGCGTGGTAGTCTTAGAATGGTATCCAAACTACCTTGCTATGCAGACGCTGTTAGCACTGCACAACAAGTACAATACACAACGTGTACAACCACAGGACCACGAGAGAAGAGGTGCCCGCAGTTTTCTGATTGGTCATCAAGTTGCAGTACCTCTATAAAAGGCGAACGCCGAAGGTTCCTTTGCCTCAATCCTTTGGTGCATGCCGTACTCGGCCTGGCAACGATCAAAGATCTGATACATCTACGACTTACATAGCAGCCGTTGGTCATTTCTTCGAGCAACACGTGTCAGTGATGTTAGGATTGCGCCTGAAAAAGTACAGCACAGCCTTGACTCACCGACACCGTCCATCTTCACCGCTTAACCCGGGCACCTGTGGCGACTTGGTGGGGCTGCAAGGTTCCAGGGGAGAGAAAGAGAGAGAGACAAAGACTGGTGAGGTGTGCGACCAAACCACCAGACCCACCAGATCACCCCAGATCACCAGCCGATCACAGTTACGCCGCATTCGGTTGCTCCGCATTTAGCATTTAGCGAACGTCCAAGTTGTGTCCTTGTGCCCTTGCCTTGCTCCGTGCCCACACTGGCCGTGTTCCCTACCTTTTGACACCCGGGACGCTTCCACTCCAGGAGCGCGGGAATGGACATCGCTGGTGAGCTATGGGGCGGTACTTGTGTACGTAGTGGTCACCGCGCTGTACATGTACTATTATACCCAATCTGTCTTCAACAGCAATGCCTCACGATATACGATATGCATGCTCCATGTAGGTGGCGATGTTCATCAGATCCTTCTGGGGCGGGCTTTCAAGGCTTGATACTCCACTACCAGGAGGGTTACCATGCCGAACGACCCGTGGCGGGAAATATCTGGATGAGGGATTTCTAACCCCTCGCTTTTCGGCACCGCTCGTCCTTCTACTGCTGTGCAGAAATCGAGCTTTGCAAGTAGACCAAAGGGGGTCTGATATTTACCGTCAAACAGGGAGTCGGTGCATGTTTTTACACGTCCACAAGCGCTCCTGTAATTAGATATGCATAGTCTCCGTAATTCGGAAATCTGTGTGTGTGAGTACATGACACAGTAGCAGGTAACCCCTCTCTCTCTCTCTCTCTCTCTCTCTCTCTCTCTCTCTCCCCCTCTCTCTCTTGCGCGCCTCTCTTGCACACTACTCCTGTCTCTTGCACACTACTCCGTCTCTTGTTGATTCCTTGCTGTGCATGTCAGTCCTACGCACGATCACTTGCAACGACCCTCCTGCTATCGTGTGTGCCAACTGCGAAAGGGTGATGATGATGCAGCCGACTACACCTAGATTGGGCAAGGTCATCCCGCCATCCCAGTGACTCCTCGCAGAGAAATGCAGAGCTTGGCGAGGCATGCAAGCATGAGCGCTCCAAAGGAGCCGACAGGCAAGGTGTGTGTGGCGACAAGAGGAGGACGAACAGTAGCCCTTGCAGGTTTTTTTCTATGAGGGAACATGTTCGATAAAGCATGCAGTCGAGGAAGTTGGGTTAAGGATACGGTTACGGTTAGGGATAGGTTCTGCGTACCCCCTCTCTGTTCTACTTCCTCATAAACTTCATTTTTCATTTCTCGCGAAGAGGGTCCGGGACGAATGCTCTTGAATCTTTGCAAACCTGGTCAAGAGGTCTGACTTGAATTACTGTACGTATAGCACCAGCACGAGCAGCAGGGAGAGAGGTAGGCACCGTTCGACTCTGCCAAGCGGTGAGTCGGCGAACGATATTTTGCTCCGGGTAGACTGAATCATGGCCGTGTGCGTAAGACACCGGAGGTAGCGTCGAGAAGCGCTGAAACACGCGAACCATTGCAGAACGATCGACCATGCTGTGTGCTCATTTAGTGTCTGGCTGCAGCTTACCAGCAGGACGCTGTCCGACGTGAAGGCTTTTATGTTTATTTTTGTGAGAATAATGCTGTAGCAGACACGTGCAGCGTCATGACGAGTAGGTGAAGTACGTTGAGCGGAATGAACTGTCTTTCATCAGTACACCCGAAGACACAACAACTCGACGCGCCATGATTTCGGCGATTCGCATGCCTTCAAAGATATATATGTAGCGGTCGCAACATATCGGATCCAAAAATGGGACGGAATGTGGTGGCCATCCTGAATCTTGCTGGGGTTAGGCGTTGCCCTGTCTCCAAGCAGGTCAGCCGTCGCGTTTCTTTCCAGTGCATTCGGCTGCGGCGCGCGAGACGTACGGAATGCCGACGGGAGGATGTGTCTCTTCTACGAAAGGCCGAGGCCGAAAGTCTTCGAGAGCACACATTTTTGCACAGCTGTGCAGGTTTCCGTATTGGTGTTTTTGCACATCCATTCATGATTCAACGTATCTCCGATGCGGTTCCTGACTGGACTTTTTCGACCCCACGGAACAAGCTTGAATCGGAGGAGACGCCTGTTCCTAAGCGCACTCTCCCACTCCCGCCTTCACAATTCTTGTTGTGCTCCTTGCGCGATCCTTTCTGGACAAACTACTTTTCCCAGGCACGCCGGTTGCAGTGGCGGACAAGCCGAGCCCACCCCGCCTTGTCGCCGGAGGTGCGCGAGTGGACCTTAGCCTGCGTTTCACTGTCTCGGCAGTCAGCAGAGACGCGGTCCCCTGCGGCGACGACGCCGGTCTTGCCACCTGGCCGGCCTCCTGTCGTACCCCCAGCGCTCGGTCAGCCCACGGCGCCGTTCGCTGAGCCCCGGGTTCGGCCACCGTTCTCACGGAACACGGAACGTCTGGCGTCCCGTGTCGACAAGGTCCTGGAAGCAGACACGAGAGCAGAGCCTTTTGTGGTCGACTTGGCGGAAGCTTGGGGCAAACGGAGGCTTTTGCGGTTGAGCCTGCAAAGCCTGGTCGTGTCATCGTCGGGAAGTGCAACAGCAGTGGTGTCAGCACCGGCAATGAATGGCGGCCGGTAGGGCGGCAGGGAACGCGGGGACAGTGGTGGCGGTGGTGGCAGCGATAGGCGAAAGGTCTCCCCCCGCCGGCCCTACCCGAAGACCTTGTTGAATCCCCCAGAGAATCGTTGAGAGCAAGCCGACAAAATGCCGCAAATATGGAAACACAATAATAGACATAAATTTAGAAGCGCAACGCAGAAAGGCGGCACGTTCCGAAACGCCGCGGTCCACCCTGTTTCGCTGCGTACGACAAAGACGACCTGATCAAGAGTATCGAGAGCAAGAGTAGCATCACGGGGGTTGGACAACATCATGCGCTATTCGTTCGTATCGAATGTGTTTCTTTAGACGATTGCTACGCTTGCTTCGTTGGCGACCGATCATCCATGACTCTGTAATAGGACCGTTTTCCCTTCACGTTCCGATCCTTGCCCTAGCTTTGGTGGTGTTGGTTGTGTTTGTTGGGTCTGCGATCGATCACAGAGAGGTGGGCCTCACCCACTATGTCCTTGCTGGCTACTTATTGCCATGCATTGCCTATATTCTTGACTTGGATGTGTAGCGCGGGTGAGGGTAGTTGGAATATTCTAGGCGCTTTCGTTCCTCTCTGCTGCGCGGCTGCGTTATTTGTCGAGCAGGGATCTTAGGAGGAACCTTTTGACCCACGGAGAAACAGCAGAGATCTCGATGTGCTGGATGCGTAATTTGCACACCCTTCAAACCACACAACAATATACGTTGTTGATTCAGCGTTTGAGCCATTGCAACTGCTGTTCAGACTCACATCGCCCGTCTATACGAGTAGGTTTAGAAAAGAAAAGTTGTCTACAACAGACTGCTGTAGCGTCAAATGCATTGCACGATTGATTCTGGATTAACTACTGCTGTAAGTACCGTTCGAGATCAATCCCCATTCGAAGGGTATTCGTGACTTAGACTTTGCCGCAGTGAAGGATGAGGATAAAGATGTACAATACTGGACTTCTTTTCGTGCACACCCGTGAAGTCACTATCGGCACAAACTTTACCGGAGAGGCTCTAGATTTCAAATTCAAATTTACAATCATTGCTTGCATGTTGTGAAAGAGCACATCACATCCGTCCTCCTCTCTTGAAATTTGCAATGTCTATATTCGCAATGCTGATGACAACTCTTTTGAGTCATAAAGGACCTGGAAGGTACTCTGTGATATCATGTTTCGGTCGGTCTATGTACGAAGAGGATTGAGAGAGTCGACCAGCGCGCAGACTTCCTCGGGCATGGGCAGGGGCGCGAATATTTGCAATCCATGGATTATAGAAGAGAACCACAGTCCAAACATCCAGACGGATCGAAACCCCGGGACATGGGGCGCGAATATTTGCAATCCATGGATTATAAAAGAGAACCACAGTCCAAACATCCGGACGGATCGAAACCCCGGGAAACCGCCCGGAGTGTCCCCGAAGAGGTTCTCCTCTCTCCCTCTCAAATTCAATATTATCTCGGAGCCTGGATCTAACGCCCGTTGTCTTCGGAAGCAGAGCTCTCGTCTGCAGCAACAGCCTCAACAGTCCATACTGCCATACTGGCACATATTTCACGCCAAGGCCACCCTTCGCACCCGGGATGCCCAGGAGACGCTAGGCCTCAGAGGAACAGGAGGACACGACGACACACAACGCCCCGTACTTAGAGGAGTGCTCGTCTCTCTCTGTGTGTGTGTCTATCCGCGTGTGGTGCTGCTGTTGTTGTGCGTTTCTGCTGCTGCAAGCAATTGTTGCTGTAGATTTTGTGAACTACATACAGCAGTATTCTTTTTTTGGTAGATATAACCTGCTGCACGGTGCTGCCGTGATGGATGTCAGTCATCATGGGGCCGTCAAAATCTGTAGGCATCGTTTAGTTCGCACACCGCAGGCCCGCTCAACAAACTCGAGACGCGGCTCACACGGTTTTCTTCGCAGAGCACACAGGTCGACAAGCACAGATAGACGCAGAAAAAAACAAAACAGAACAATCAATATCCAACAGCGATTTGATGATAGACTGACCCCCACCAAAAAAATGAAAGGACCTGGATATGACCCCAACACGGCAAAAAAGGGGGCGGAAGAAAGAAAAGAAAAGGAAATGGAACAAAAGAAATAAAAACAGGACAGGAACCAGATGGCCCCATCGAACGCTACACCGCAACAACCAAATAGACATACAAACACAAAATCGACAACATCACAGACGGCGATCGGCGCAAAAACGCCGAAGCGAAAAATAAACAACACACCGAGCCTTGACCTGCCGCCGGGGGGGGACAAAACATCGTTCAGGCATATGCCCCGGTGACGTCGTAAACCTAGGGCCGCGTACCGCTACTCACGTACCCCAAAGTATGCAACACCGAAACTAGAGTTGGGACCCCGAAGTCGCGGCTCTCTTGCTACCCCCTCTTG